CCATTAATTAATTATTTAAACTCGTAGTCAAAAACTTCTAACCATGACGTAAACCGAATCACAAAGGAAACCGTTGATCTCATTGCACATGAGAATTTAGGTAGGCTTTTTAAATTAATTATTACTACTACTTGATTTATCGTTTTATTGAAACTCAATTCACTTAGAGAATAAATTTTCTTGTAGATTATTATATTCTGTGAGATAAATATGAAAAAATTAATGGTTATTTTTTGTCGCTGTCTATGCCAACACTTTTCTCTCATTTTTTTTTTTGGATACACCTCTCACATCATTCATTATTGTTGATTTGTGAGAAAACATTTTCTCCTTTTAAAGGAGAAAAATTTTCTTCTACTAATGACTCATTCCATGAGTGAGTTCCACCTTGATTTTTTTTCTCTCTATTATTTTGTGGACCTCACTTATGCTATGAGTCAACAATAGAAGAAAATATTTTTCCATAAATTATTACTATCTTCTCATCTAACCTAATCATTTTGTTTTTTGAATACATTGAGATATTGAGGTTTGAACTTATAATCTCATATAAATTACTTAAATTTCTTACTAATAGACTAATTATTAGGGGTGTTCATCAACCGATCCAAATCGATTCAAACCGCGGTGACCGAACTGAAAAATTGATAACCGAATAAACTGAAAACCGAAAAAAACAGCAAATTTTAATTGGATTGGATCAGTTTTCGGATGGGTTGATGAAAACCGATCCAATCCAATCCGATCCAATATATTAATTCCCCTCTATCTACTTGGGTCTTTCCCCAACCATAGCTCAAACATTTCTAAACCTAAGACCCATTAACCCATCAACTAAACCCAAGAAAAAACCTAGTCATATCTCATTAATATAATTTCATGTGTAAAGCTTTATATTTCTTTGCAAAAAAAAAAAACTATATTATCGTTTACTGATGCTTTTGTATTTAAAAAAAAATTAAATTTACAAAGCTAATACATACAAAAGATGTTATTTGCACAATAATTATGAAACAAATTTTAGCATTTTCAAAAAATCGAAAACCGATCCAATCCAAACCGAAAAAATTGGATTGGATCGGATTGGATTTGAAAAAAAATCCAAACTGAATGGATGATTACATGATCAAACCGAAAGGATTGGATCAGATGATATTTCCTTCCAAAAATGATCCAATCCAGACCGCGAACACCCCTATTAATTATAATATCTTAATCTGATTATGTTTAATTACACAAAAAAGGATTCATTAATATATATATATATATATATATATATATATATATATATGGAAAAAATATTTTTCCGGCAACTTGAGATAAGTTTCTTTCCGACCACCCTAAAACTACGTTGTTTTGTTTATTTATTTTCTTATATTAATTGATTCATCTTTGAATGGTTATGATTTTCTTTTTCTCTCTCTTCCTTTATCACCATTGATCCATCTTTATACGGTTGTGATTCAATAGTCGAAGATAAAATTATCTCAAGCAGTTTGAGAAATGATAAGCCCTATATATATATATGTGTGTGTGTGTGGTTGTTCTGAATTCTGTGCAATAAGTTCATGGCATCTGACTCAATATTGGCAACATCGCAACAACTAGCCCTGGAAGAAAGCATTTCATTTTATAAGAAGTCTACTTATTAAATGGTTAGTGGATTTTTTTTAAGCTAGAAATTACTTACAAGTATAAGTTAGGTTAAACAGATTTTGAGAAAAATTCTTATAATAAAAAATTCTTTTTTTATAATGACAAAAAAAGTTAAAAGATAAAAGCTCCTATGAAGAGCTTTTTTTTAAGTTCTTATTCTGCTTTTCTTGAATCATGTGCTTTTTTTTAGGTAAAGAGCTATTAAGATAGACAGAGATAGTTTTTTTTGAAATATGTGCTTTTAAGCTAAATTTTTTATGCAATTACCAAATAACTTTTAACTTTTTTGTAAATTCTTTTTTTTTAGCTTTATCTTATAAGTAGCTTCTAACTTAAAATAAGAGAGGATCCACGGATTTTCTTCTTCTTTTTTATTATTATTACTATTATTTCTTCAAATCTTATTTCCCATTTTTCACTTTCTAAATGGGATTTATTTTTTTAAATGAATTCTCAAATTTATAAGAAAAGAAAAACAAATTAATAATTGATATTATACATAGATATATGAAAAAGTATACATTTCATGGAATTTATTTCTTTAATGTTTTTTGACCAATAATTAAGATTGTTGAGTTTTTTTTTTTTTTTTCAAAAGTCAACCTTTATTTTACAAAAAAATCAAATCCCTAAATCTGTACTAATGAATGTGACTTCGCCAATAATGAAAGTCATTATAATAGTTAGTGAAGTTATCATATTTAAAATAATCAGTATATTATTAATGTAGTTATCATATTTAATATTATTATAATTTTTTTATTTTTGATAATTCAAATTATATAATTTTAAGATTAAAATATGTGTAGTCTTCATTTTATAAGCCTCCCAAAAACAATATATAATTTATATTTTTCTTCCGTGCATGTCTGTCTCTCCGGATGGATTGGAATATTGGATGACAATGAATTTTTTTTCTTACAAACATCATTTATACAAACTAATTTCTTTGTTATTTACGCATCAATTTTGCTACAATATTTATATTTTTCTTGATTAAAAAAATAAAGTTAGAGAGTGTGTGATATTTTTATTTTACTATCCAAAATAATAGTTTAAGAATAGCGAAAAAAAATTGATGTGTACACATTATTTATATATAGATTTGAATATATATTTTTATCTTTCTAAATATAACAATTTTAGATTTTGATTCCGTATTTTTAAAACTGTACAAATGAGTCCTCTAAAATATATATATTTTTTATAAGGTCTTTTCTGTCAAATCATCAAAAGTTAACATTATCTACCCACATAGAGTCCTACATGGAAAGTAGACATCCTATGTGAATCTTACAGAGGTTAACATGGACATTAAATTAAAAAAAAGGGACTAAAACAAAATATAGTTATTTTGAAGGAAATAAATACATATTTAATCTGTGACATATTCATTATCAAACTGCACCTCAAGTTGGTCCCAGTCCACAAAAATTTCCCTGTTTTCATCCTTTGTTCAACCCATAATCTACAGAATCATCATCGCTCAAAACATGATCACTGCGAGTCAAGGTGTTGGATTTTGGTTTATAGAAAATGGGAAATGATATTCTCATGCTACATAAGATACTTATCTCATGTTATACACTCATAGAATTTTGTGCCAATTTTTTCTTTTCTTTTTAAATTGTGGACCCCACATATTTGTATCACCCACATGAGATAGTACTCTCATGTAACATAAGATTAATAAACTCCATAGAAAATTGTGTTTAGACTTCAAAGGTGTGGACTTTTTAGACGGAAGAAAATTATGCATAGAGTAAATTTTTTGACTACGTAATAAGGATGAACAAACATCAAATTAAATTTGCATTTATTGCTTGTAAATATTTTATTTCAGTCCTTTTAAATATATACTCTCTTTTTTTTAGTCTCTTATTTTTTTATTTTTTGTGTGTGTAGTCTCTTCTTTTTAAGTCCAACTTAGACGTTAATGTCCATTCTATTCACTTAATTCTACAATTTTAGGGAAAAATAACTATTCTTTAAAAGGAAACAAGCTCGTGTCTTTTTAGGTAATTTACCCAAAGTTTGGCCAATCAGATTTGTGTAAATCTGAAAAAATCATTGACGTATAAAAATAAATAAATAACTTTTCAAATTTACACAAAGTCTGATCAGTCTGATTTTGTGTAAGTCACTAAAAAGACACAACCTGTGTTCTTTTAAAGGACATCCACTTAACCCATAATTTTAACAGAAATATAATATAAAGATCATTTGAGAAATTAAAAAAAAGTTGTATATAAAGTTTAAATAATAAGGAATTAAAAACCAAATGCATCTTTTAGCTCATTATATATTATAGAAAAATATTTTTCTCATGTTACATAAATTTTTTTATCTCATATTACATATCCATCAAAATTTGAGCCAATATATATATATAAAGAGAGAGGTAGGATCCTTTGATACCGGTGTCAAATTTGACACCTCATCTGAGAGCCATTAGATCAAGAAAAATCAATGGCTCTGTTTTGTAAACATGTGGCACCGTTGATTTTTCTTGATCTAATGGCTCTCAGATGAGGTGTCAAATTTCAAATTTGACACCAGTATCAAATGATCCTACCTTATATATATATATATATATATATATATGGAAAAACATTTTCTCACGTTGTATAAGAATTCAATTCTCATGTTGTAATCTTTTGATTTGCGTGTAAAACTTTTCTTTTCTTTTTCTTTTTTTAATAAATGTGTGGTCCATCACTAATTGAGTCACAATATGAGAATTGAATTCTCATGCAACATGAGAAAATCAAACCCCTATATATATATATATATATATATATATATATATATATATTACATAGTACAATGCTATCTCATGTGTCTATATTATAAGGGATACGTTATTCTACCTATCATTTTTTCTGCCTACATTTGTCTATGACCTTCCAACACCATTAGATCAAAATTTCAAGAAAAGAGAAAAATAAATGTCAGTTAAAATGATGATCTAATGGTGTTTTAGAGTAGTAAAAAAAAATAAAAATGATAGATAAAATAACATATCTCATGTTTTAATCGCTTAAACTTTGTAGATTTTTTTGTAGTAACTATCGTTCCATCCTCTTATACAAAAAAAAGAAAAAGAAGAAGTATCGTTCCATCCTATGTTATATCTCTTTTCCCATCTTCTTTCCTTTCTTTTGTCCTTTGTGGCCCCTTCATACTGATCCAAACAAACATAATATATATTTATTTTTTTCCCAATCTTCTTCCTCTGAGGATAACATAAATATCTAAAGCTATGTAGCCTATAGGCAGGGGATAAAAGCGAAGAAACGTTTTGGTACTTGTTGTAACAGAAAGCCAAGCCAAGCCAAACTGTTCTCACGTTTTGCATTGGATCTCTGAAAATTATGGGCACCGGATGGAGAAGAGCCTTTTGCACTCGCGACCCACAATCCACAATACATAACCAACACAGAAGCCAAAGTCCCCCTCCAACCTGTGTCAGTCTGGGTTTTCTTTCCAGCACTAGCAACCCTTCGACACCACCACTGCACCATCAACAATCAGCAACCGCAAATGACAACCCCAGATTTCAAAGCAAAAGCACTCCAAACTCAAATCCAACCTCTCCTCGCTCCCCTAATCTCAAACTCTCTCTCTTCAAGAATAGCTTCAAATTCAGAGTAAGATTTTCATATTCCACTCACTCATCCTCGTATAATAGAAAATTCGAAACCTCTTCTTTATTTCTTCATTTATTTATTTATATATTTATATTTTTTTGGTTTTTGTGTAACAGAGTAGTTGCGGAATATGTTTGAATAGCGTGAAGACAGGACAGGGCACCGCCATTTACACTGCAGAATGCGCTCACGCTTTTCATTTTCCCTGCATCGCTTCCCATGTACACACCCACGGTATCCTCGTTTGCCCTATCTGCAACGCTACCTGGAACGACGTACCACTCCTCCAACAAAACGACGACGTCGTCGTTAACACCATCCAAACTCAAATCAACCACCAACAACAGCCGAGCCATTCAGATTCGGTCAGGTCCTACGACGACGACGAGCCTCTCCTTTCTCCTTTCACAGTCTCTGGCCAAATCGTTCCCATTCCGGAAGCAGACGAAAACGGCGAAGAAGAAGACGAAAACGACGACGCAGGCGAGTTCCAGGGCTTTTTCGTCAATCCAAAACCTCCATCATCGTTACAAATAAACGACGGTGATTCAAGGAGCGTTCGGGTGAAGTTGATGCCAGAGTGTGCTGTTATATCAGTCTCTCGGAGCCACGAGACTTATGCTTTGGTTTTAAGAGTGAAGGCTCCGCCGCCATCGCCGATGTCGCAGCGGGCGCCGATGGATCTCGTGACGGTGCTTGACAATGGAGGCAACATGACCGGCGCGAAGCTTCACATGTTGAAGAGCGCGATGCGCTTGGTTATCTCCTCTCTCGGCTCGGCTGATCGGCTCGCCATTGTGGCTTTCTCGGCTACATCCAAACGGCTGCTACCTTTGCGGCGAATGACGGCTCAGGGCCAGCGTGTGGCTCGGCGCGTTGTCGACCGCATCGTCTCTGGCCATGGAAACAGCGAGGGTGAAAGTGAAGCTCTGAGGAAAGCCACGAAGGTTCTCGAAGACCGGAGGGAGAGAAACCCGGTCGCTAACGTCATGATCCTATCAGACGGTCACGATGGGAAGGTGCAAACCGGTAACAACACCATTCAACGGAAATGCCTCAGCCACGTGTCTTCTACCCGGTTCGCAACTATTGATATTCCGGTTCATTCGTTTGGGTTCGAGATCCCGGTTCATTCGTCTGGAATATTAAGTGCGGTTGTGCAGGACTTGAAAATTCAGTTTGGCTTTTCGGCGCCGGCTGAAATCAGCGCTGTCTACACGTGCGGCCCAAGGCCCACGGCGCTGAGCACGTGCACGGCTGGGCTCGGCGATTTGTACGCTGAGGAAGAGAGGGAGTTGTTGGTGGAGTTCAAAGTGCCCACGTCAGCATTGGGGAGCCACCACGTGATGACGGTGCGGTGCCTATATAACGATCCTGCGAGTAATGAGGTAGTGTACGGTAGGAAACATGCGCTTCCGGTGTCGCCGCCGCGGAAGAGTGCGGCGCATTCTGTTGGCAGAGTCGAGAGGCTGAGAAACGTGTTCATAACGAGCCGAGCCATAGCTGAGTCTCGGAGACTCGCGGTGCACAGCGAGTTTTCAAGTGCTCATCATTTGCTTGCTTCGGCTAGAGATGTTCTGGTGCGGTCTAGCTCGGCTTCGGCTCAGGAATATTTGCGCGGCTTAGAAGCTGAGCTTATGGAGCTACATTGGCGGAAGCAGCAACAACAAACGATTTTGATGCAACGGAGGAGAGGGAGGGAGTTGAGTTTGGTGGATGAGAATGGTGAAGCGCTGACGCCGACGTCGGCTTGGAGAGCAGCTGAGAAGCTGGCTAAGATAGCCATGATGAAGAAGTCGATGAATAAAGTCAGCGATTTGCACGGCTTCGAAAACGCTAGGTTTTAATAATGTTTAATTGTTTTTCACTTAAAAAAAAAGAAAGAAAAATGTTGGTTTAAGAGAAAATATCAAAATGAAAAAAATAAAATAAAAAATGTTGTAGCATAGTTAGAGAAATGGATCATTATTAGGTGATGGGGCTTGGGAATGGAATGGGGACAAGTTAGGGGCAGACGGTCCTTTCTGCGCAGGAAGATTACTATGGAGAAAAAGTGTCATGTGTTATACAGTATAATCAATAATGGGGAATGTGCATACCCCAACCTAAAAAACGCAAAAATTGATTGGATGATTGCTGGGGGACTTGTCCTTTTGTCCTGTGCTTTTGAATTTTAATTAATCCCTGTTGAGGATCAGAATTTAGACCAAAGATACACTAAAACACTCAAATTAGCACAGATAAAATTGCTGGCATGTAACGCATGTTTGATGCTGGGTATGGAGATTTTACTGTATGAATGACAAAGTTGTAAATGCTGCGATAAAATCACTTTTTTCTATCCCTCCCCTTTTTAGTTTTTAGCTTTTGTGGAATGAACATCTTGTCTAATGGTTTGTGGGGTTAATGATTATGATTTCGACTAAGAACGAGGGTAAAATTCTTAAAGTGATCTTTTGGATAAATCATATGGCAGAGGACAGGATATAAGATAGAGTGGGTTGGACGAATAATGATAAACAAATGATTACATTGCACAATAATTGGATACCTTTACAATGTTGTATTGCAACCCCTTTACCTTAACCATTTACGATAAAAATATAATGCAATTATTACAGACACACCACCTTTTGCTAGCTTTCTCTATAGTAATGGTGGAAAAAAAGAGGGTCTCTATATTGGGGAAACAAAATTCGCTTACAGCAATCTATGGCAGGTGCATGGACTAGTATTAGTTTAATATGCTAAACTAATTTTCTTTTATCGAAAATCTCGATTTTTAAAAATATAATGAAAACAGTTTATGATAATGTCCGAAAATTAAAAATTTAGAAAAATTTAATTTTTCGAAAATCCTGAAAAATACCAAATATCAAATGTCACCTAAAGAATTATCCGATCGACATGGGCATGAAAGAGAAGTATTCTTTCTATTCGGTTTGCATATTACTTTATATGTTTTCCTCGAGTTTCATCAAGAAAAGCAATTGAATAATACCATCTTTGATCATTGTGAGTGGGAGCACCTAATGATTAAATGGTCCTGACCATATTAAATTTTCTCCTACCTCAAATGTGGAAGCCGCAAACTCACTCACAAATCACAAGCTTTAGATAGATATGATCAAAGCTAGAGGGGGTTCATAAATGAGATGCTTGATTGCTCGTATTTCATGACAATTCAATTCGTCTTATTCGAACAGCCTGTGTCAGTTAGCTTAGTTTCCAGCTTTTGACAACTAATTTTTACCTACTTCCTAATGGAGAAAAGTTAGTTAGCAACAAGAGGGATCTTATTGAGAGATGTGGAACCCAGCAAGTGTCTCGTGCGTTCAATGCATCGTTATCTGCTTTCGTCTTCCTGGCATATAAGAACCTGATCTTTACAATACACCATTACACTTTTTTCTTTGCAAAAAATAAATAAAAAAAGGAAAAATACGTTTCTTAGTGCTTAATAATGCCATATTGATTTAAAAACCAAGTTCATTGTATTAAAAATTGTAATTATTAATATGAATAGTGGAGAGCACTGCTTCTGAATTTTTGTTGTGGGAGTTTAACGATTCAGACAAATGAAGATGAGTAAATAACAATTAACAACATTCCTGACACTGACACTGTGGAATAAACATTTTAGGCATATTTGTTGTGGTAAAACCGTAAGTTTTATAAGGCTCACCTTCTTAATTCCTCGCTGAATGTGAACTAATGCTAACTTTTCAGCAATAGTACGAAACAAGAAGACACACCGAGAAT